AGCACTCCGTAAACCTACCATTAAAATCAACAAATAAGGATCTCCTTGCGTAATTTATACAAATATCCTTCAGTTTGATCAGTTACCTGAAAAATGCATAATTTTAAGAACAATAAAAAAAATGGTAAGGATAGAAAACTACTCGGCGAACAAATCTGTTCGAATGAATTTCTATTTCCAATCAATAACAACAATATTTAAATATATATATATGTATATGTATATATGTATGTACTATAATAGACTAGGCTGTCATTATCCTCCTATTTCGCAATTTTTTTGGTATGTCTACGCGCTAATACGCTCGTTCATCAACTTTCAAACGCACGAACTCGCGATTACGCGACGCAATAATTACTTAATCGGAGCACACGCTCGCGTGCCCCTAACATTAAGAGCGAAAACACCGAAGAAGAACACAAAAGGGGACACGCCGCACCTATGGAAACCCTTCGACCCGAGTGAATTGCGATTATTTGCCATAATCGCATCACTTTCACACCCTGCAGCCTCGAGGATTTCTTCGAAAAACTTCGGACGCGATGTTCTTTTGCAAAATTAATCAATTCGCACGATAAACGCAATGACTTCGAAATAATAGTCCTTTGCACTTTAATTAATGCTCGTTAATTTAATATGCATTCATTTAATTTCCATTTTAGTTCTCGTCCCTGTTTCACAAATAATTTCCCTGCGATCATGCCGCAAATGAAAATGTGTCTTTAATGCATTTCTAACAGAACTAAGCAGACAAAATTAAAAAAACAGAAGAATTTCAATGAATTATTAAAGAAAGATCTCTCCACGAGTCCCTCAATTTTTACAATTACTTGAAAAAAGAACCGTGGATTTCGCGTATTTGTTGGATCAAATCCAACAAATTCGTGATCAAATCTTGTCGGAAGGAAGATCGGTCAGAATTTAGCGTCCAGAAGTCTCCGAAGCAACCCCGCTGCCGGCTCACTACCCTATTTGCAACAGTCTCGACCTAAAATGGTAACGCGTGAAATCATTGAGAACCGGAGGGACGCGCACTAGCCATTAAATAAAGAACCGCAACACAGTTCGCTGTCTCGTGTAACGGTGGAAACGCTACAACGTCCACGAGTATCGGGTAGAGAAACTACGCGTATGTACAAGAGACGTGGGTGGTCCTTTCCCGGACCTTTCCCGGATTTCAGGGGAGAAGACGACGCGAAAGATCTTTGGGACTATTTACAGGTCACAGATGAGAGACGCGGGGTTCAGGGAACGTAGAGGGGGCCCGAGGTAACTACCAGAAGGTGTCCCTGCTCTAATCCGCTTATCTGATCGGGAATTCCTAATTTTTTGGGAAAATACGGGTGGTGAGAGAGAAAGAGGGAGAGAGAGAGAGAGAGAGAGAGAGGAAGAGAGCGGGAGAGAGAGGGAGAGGAAGAGAGCGAGAGAGAGAGAGGGAGAGGGAGAGGAAGAGAGCGGGAGAGGGCAAGAGGGTGCATACGGGCAGGAAACTCGATTTACGTCTCGATAAACGAAGACACCTTGCGGCTTCCTGGGCACAGATCCTTGTCTGGACCGGAGTGACCAATTATTTTGACGCCTCGGGAGATACAGCGACGCCTCGTTATTCACCAGACGGGGCGCACGAATGTCTCCGATCCTCCCAAGCTGTTCTTCGGCTTCTATTTCCCCACGGCTTATCGCTCGAGATTCTTCTCAACACCCTCTACTACCCCGCACGGTCCTCGCTACCACCGAGCTGGATGCTTGGCCAACCGCTAATTCCATGCAATCGACCGTGATCTGATCGTTCAACCCTCGCTCGACAGACTCGGAAGAGAACCCCGGTGGTACGGGCTGCTTTTCATGAATCTGCGCAAGCGTTCCGTTTGACCTATCTAAGAATTTAGCAGAATCTCATTCGCAGCCGTTCTTCGCTTCATCTATCGAAGCAGTGCAAATTATGGAACGATTAAAGAATTATCCAATGACAAAAGAGTGGTTGAAATAAAAATAAATATGCCCGAAGATGTTCTTGAAAATAAAAGCATCGTTTTACGAGAATTAGAGGAAACGTGACTCTCTCTCTCTCTCTCAAAATACAGTAAATTTTCCCGAATTTTCTTTCAGCTTGCCAACAAAGATATGCAATTTGAAAGAGTTTTTAGGGCCCGTTTTTGTAATTCTTGACAATCGGCAAGTATGAAAATGAGCAGCGAGAATAATCGTATCTACTCTTCCCGGATTGTCCATTTTTGTTTACTAGGGGCGAATTTACTGTATGTAATGAATCCCGTTAATATTCGGACACTTTTCAAAACGAACTGGACCGGTCTACGAGACCGTAACTAGAATGCTTTCTATAAATTTTGCTATCGCTTAGAGAATGACAAAAGAAAATGAAAAAACTCGTTTTTTAACTTTTTTTTTTATTTGAGCCTGTAACGAAGATTTGAAAATTTCGTATGAGCTGTAAACAAAAGAGAGCTGTAAAACACAAACAAGATTGCAAAAATATTAGTTCTGTCCTGCTTTTTGACGCTCTCTACTAATAAGTGTGGGAAATTTGCAGTTTTTACAATCTTTTAACGTTTGTAACACGACTTCGCGCTAACCGATTTCGATTTTGTTTTGCCATTCCAAGTAATAACGAAATCGTAAGAAAGTAGTTTGGTCATTGTTTAGTTTGCTAGTCCTTCTATTATCTGAAGGAAAAGATTCAAATCGTTTATTCCGGTTTTAAAAAAGTTGTTGCGTTTCAAAAAGTATCCGAATATCAATGGGAATGATATAACTTTATATACAACGTATGTTATGTATAACGTTATAACGATATAACTTTTATTTTATCTATTTCGGGACCGTTTTCGTCGACTATCATTTATAAACCCTTTTGTAGAAAAACCGGTTCGAATGAAACTGATAGTTTCTCTCTGAACACTGTCGCGTCCCTCACATGTATGCGACAATACTATCCTATTTCAAATTTAAAAATGAATTTTCACGCCAATTTTACTAGGATTTGCAAAACGTAAGAATATCGTAAGAGCAATCGAATAATTGAATTGTATTACATTTTTGAGATCGTTAGCATGCGAGTCAAAGTGTTGAAGTCAAAGTCGGGCATGAACGAAATACGTTTCTAAATTCATTGGAAGTGTCGAACATTCGCGAGGGGCAAAGTGTCATCGAAATCGGTGTGTATCAGTCACCGGAGTTTCCTTATCCAATTTCAAACGGATCGATGTTTATGAACAGTCGATCCGTCGCCAGACGTCTCCGAGCTATCTATCTCCTTTTCACTCGAGTTACATTGAGCTACAGAACAATGAACTGAACTATGTTCGACGTATTGGACCGAAATCCACCTTACAATCAGTTGACAGAGGCCGGTAACCATCTCGCGAGGATTAAAGGATAGAAACTCACAGCTTTACCAAGTCGTCGATTGGATAACTTTAAATCGGTGCAGCGAATAGAAAACATTCGGAACATTGGCGTCGAACTCTTCCGAGACTGACGACGTTTCGAGGGAATTTTACTCGGAAGTTTCGAGCGATTACGACGAGGTTCACAGTTAAATACGGCTATGTACATGTTACGATGAGAATAGGCGAACGGGGTCGAGCCAAATAACTTAAGCGAAACGATATTTACAATGTGAGCTATGGTACAGCCCGAATCTCCGCGTTCCATTCGTATTCGGTGCAATCGGTGCATTGGGAGAACTTGTGTGTTTGAAGCTTTCCGAAATTCTCCCTAAGCGGGTGACGATCTCTTGAAATGTTTTCATCAAGCAACGTGCGTCGAAATCTTAGTCCTTTGCAGACGATTCTCCGTTGCATTTTTTTGAACGAGCCGAATGTTGTTGATAAACGGTGAATCTTTGCGCGTTCGTACCAGAAATCAGTTGATCGAATAGAAAACGGCGAGAAAAAAATCCGAAATATAGAAAAATTTTCTTCGTCGACAAAAAAATTATTGTAGTATTATATGTAAAAAAAAAATTATAGTATTAAAATAAAAATTGCTATTAGTTCTTATTAACTCGTATCAAGATCCACAGTTCGATTACTTGCTTGCTTGCTGAAGCAAGATTGTGCAGCTGAGAGTAAAACTAAGGAAAAGATGTCTTGTGTACCGAGAGAATTTATATGCGACATTGTTTCAGAATTATCATCTTTTACTGCCACTCGTCTGCAAAGAGTTTTACCGGAAACTAAGAAAGGTACACACGCACTGATCCAATTTGACGAGTAACAAGGTGCTGATAACTAGTCTGTGTGCGTGTCTCTGTGCAAAATGGAACTCGTCTAAGTCAACTGTAAGAAAGCTAAGCTCGTTGAAAATGTCTTTCCTTTTTCCATAGTTGTACTAGATCGATAACGGTATCCCGAAATACTTCGAATATGTCTTTAACCTTTTAGGTACGGCTGAATTCAGCGTGAGGCTATTTCTCTGGACGGCAAAGTCTGATGTGTACTGTACAGAGTCTGATACTGTATATACAGGGTGTCCCAAAAATGTCTCGCAATCCGAAAGTGGCGGGCTCCTCGGGCCATTTGAGGCAACTTTCTCCTTTACAAAAATTTTCTCCGAGACACCGTTAACGAGTTATTAACGAAAAACAGTGACCAATGAGAGGCGAGCTCAGCTGGCGCGAGACGATCGAGCCAATGAGCGGAACTGGGCTTCGTGCGCTGGTTGGCTGGGCCGCCTCGCGTCAACCGTACTCGATTCTTATTGGTCACTGTTTTTCGTTAATAACTCGTTAACGGTGCCTCGGAGAACATTTTTGTAAAGGAAGAACTTGCTTCAAATGATCCGAGGAACCCGCCATTTCCGGATTGCGAGACATTTTTGGGACATCCTGTAGACTGTTGTAAATCGATGTGAAGACAAAAGAAGTGTAAAACAATGTATATGAAGACGATTATTTAGTTCAAACGATGAGCTACTAGAGCAAGCCACTACAGTGGCTTGTCGTCTAGGGAGATGACATCCGCGAAAGCCACTATAGTGGCGTGTCGTTCTGAAAGATGGCATCCGTGGAAGCCACTATAGTGGCGCGTCGTGCCTAAAAGGTTAATAATAGATATTCGAGGTATTCGTTTCACTCGTAGCCTACCGACAAATATTACACGCTCAAATATTAAAAAGTCTGTTCTCGGTGATCCATATTAAAGCAATCTTAGACATTTGTATTTTACGCTTTATATTTTACGCGAACCTATACTTAGTACCGTTCCATGAAAAGATACATCGCAGGTATAGTCCTCGCGCGACAAGAAGACTCCATCGCGTTCGCATTCCCCCTCCTACTGTCGCAGCTAGTAAGAGGGGGGAACGCAAACGTAAAGGTGCCTTCGTGTCGCGCGAGAAGCTGATCCGAGGAAATACTTCGTGTGTAAAAAGGGTTAAACTGTAAATCTTAACGTTTAAGTTTGAACATCGTCTTTCGCACGAAATTGTAGAAAGCAATTTCGAAACACGTCAAACAATTTAGGGGGCCGAGATACGAACGCAGCACGGCAGATTCGATATTACTTAGAACGAATAGAGTCTATCGGATAGAAGATAACGTCCTTAACGTCTCATTATGTCTTCTATACTGAAACCAAGCTTTGGAGTAGTGGTGGTAGGCCTCTGGATCGGGATCATCCCGCTCACCCTCTCCGCCATCTGTTTGACAGTTGTGGAAGCGGTGATTCTTGGCTCGGTTGTAACCGGTGGCTCGATCCTCAGATCCTGCGGCACGTCCGTGTGCGTCAGCAGATGCGTCTTCAGGTTGCTCCTCTGGTTGAAGCTTCTGGCGCAGACCGGGCACTTGTGCGGCGACTCCTCCATGTGCAGGATCTTGTGCACCGCGAGAGTTCTGCTCTGACAGAATCCTTTCCCGCACTCGCTGCATTTGAACGGCTTCTCTTTACTGTGGATGTACCTGAAATCAGAAAATCCTCGTTACTGTCGCGTTCGCTTCGAGACTATTACAGTAATTTCTCCCGAATTCGCGCTCAGATTGCGCACAATAATAGACGATCGGTAACTATAAAAACGCAAGGCTCGAACAATTGTATCTCCTCTTTCCAAATCGTCCATTTTTGTGCGCAATTAGGGAGATTTCTCGACCGCGAATTAGGGAGAAATTACCGTATATCGCGGATTTCATGCATTCGTCACGAAACCGACTATCTGTAATTTGATCAAGACACGCTGTTCCGATCGATTTAACTCATTAACCCTTTGGTTCACGGATGAAAAATATTCTCCCTCGAAACAAATGAAACATTATTATTAAATCGAATACATAAAAGTTAATGTTCTCATTGATCCCACATATCGAACCCGTGGAGCGCCGAAGAAGGAACGAAACTAAGCTGTTTCTGCAATGTTTACCAATGACCATCGAAATTCACGGATCGCGTTCTGACATAGTCTCGTAGGAACGGAGCTTCAAACGACGGTCGCGCGATGAATCGTTGAGATAAGCTGCGTTGCATTTTCAGTGAGAAGATTGATCGACTTTCGACACTTCATTGCATGAATTTTTATGGCAAGTTATCGATAATATATTTGGCTGTTACTTACTGCATTCACATAGTAACATGTAAAGGAAGTAAACAAAGAAAGTGAAGCAACAACAACAACGACATTACTCAACGATTTTGATGACTGTTCCCATACGGGAACAAAGAAGTATTGTACAATAAAAATACAATAAAAAATACCAGTACAAAACAATGTAAGTTTTTATTTCGTACAAAAATTGCGATGACAATTTTACTGTACAATTTACTAGCATTTATCGCTGTTGATCGTAAGTATAATGTTCCGGCATGGAACCAGCATAGTTACAATCTTCAATTTCGCTTAGTTCTTTAAACTGTGGAACATTCGAAACTTCCGATCGGAAACGGTACGCGACAGTGGCTTAAGATTGAGATCAATTTGCTGGCTATTAACCCCTTGTGCACTCGAAGCCAAATTGATTTAAAATAGTTCCACCGAGCCACGATATTTCCATTTCGTACTACCTAGGTGCGTTTCGTACATACGAAATTGGATTCCATGACACGCGCATCATTCATGCTTTCGACGGTTCTTAAAATCTAAACAAATCCGATTAATAAGATTATGTCATGACGCAGCGGTTTTTCACGGCGCCTCGGAGTCGCCGTTCGGGCGCAAAGGGTTGAAAATGGGTTCGAGACACCCCAACAAGAATTTTCTTGAAAGATCGACGACATCGAAGCCGTGAATATTCCGCAAGCAATTAGGCTGTTTTGAAAAGGGCCCGATTTTTCGGCATACGAACGAGAAGCCGCACGGAGGAAACAACCATACGGAAGATCGACTCTCGCACGCTCCCCGGAAACGTACAAGAAAACGTACGCACCGAATAGTGCGCAGCACTCGAAATCGACGAATCGTGGTCCCGTTTACGACGTTATGGTAGAACGCGGACAGAAAGCAATTGGAACGGTCCTAACGTTACCTAGAAACGGCGCGGGGAAGGGGGGCGAATTTTCACTTTGAGGAACGTGCGAGAGAAAGTCCGGGCATTCATGGGTGGCTGACAGAGAAGCACCGTTCACGATCCGGACGTGTATCCGAACTCACCGATGATCACGCAGATGGTCCTGCCTCCGGAACGCCTTTCCGCAGATGTCACAGGAATAAGGTCGTTCGTCGGTGTGCGTCCTCTCGTGTATAAGGAGATTGTAGCTCTTGNCGACGACATCGAAGCCGTGAATATTCCGCAAGCAATTAGGCTGTTTTGAAAAGGGCCCGATTTTTCGGCATACGAACGAGAAGCCGCACGGAGGAAACAACCATACGGAAGATCGACTCTCGCACGCTCCCCGGAAACGTACAAGAAAACGTACGCACCGAATAGTGCGCAGCACTCGAAATCGACGAATCGTGGTCCCGTTTACGACGTTATGGTAGAACGCGGACAGAAAGCAATTGGAACGGTCCTAACGTTACCTAGAAACGGCGCGGGGAAGGGGGGCGAATTTTCACTTTGAGGAACGTGCGAGAGAAAGTCCGGGCATTCATGGGTGGCTGACAGAGAAGCACCGTTCACGATCCGGACGTGTATCCGAACTCACCGATGATCACGCAGATGGTCCTGCCTCCGGAACGCCTTTCCGCAGATGTCACAGGAATAAGGTCGTTCGTCGGTGTGCGTCCTCTCGTGTATAAGGAGATTGTAGCTCTTGGTGAACTGTCTGTTGCAGAATTTGCAGATGAACTGTTTCTTGGGCCTCTGACCGGGCAGCCTCCTGGTTAGATAGGCGGCCGGGGATGGTATCGGAAGCGCAGGGTGGAGACCCTGGTGGCCTTGATGGTGGTGATAAGGGTGCGAGGCGGCGGTCTGCGGGCAGCAACCCCTTACGGCCAGCAACGCGGCCCCGCGCAGCCAATTGTCGATGAAGGCGGCTTGATAGCCGACGTTCTGGCCGTTGCCGGCCGGTTGCTGTTGCACGAACCTTCCGGCCAGTTGCTGGGACGACCTGATCCACCTGGGCGACGTGATCGGCAGCTGCTGCTGTTGCATCGATCTGTCGAGCGTGGGCGGCGTGTGCGGCGGTGTCAGCGGCTCCATCTTCGTCTCCATGCTGGGACGCGGTGTCGCCGAGCAGGGTGTCGTCTCCACTCGCCGGGTCCAAGGGCACCTCGCAGGAACGAGAACGACACGGATCCGCGCGCGCGGTTCACTGAGACGCGAGCGTGCCGGCCGCGGGGATCGTTCGCAGACTGTTTACAAAGTTCATGTGTCTAACGTAAAGATTACGACGCGATGCAAACAACGGTGGTGCGCGAAGGCTCCGGCGAGAACACTGAAATGAAAAAAAAAAGAAGAAGACGACGTTGCCTCGAGAGTCGGCGCAGTACTAAATGCCAACAGGCAGTCGTCTGTGGTTCCAGGGTCGCCGCTTACCTGGCGCCAAGGGGACACGGTGGCTCCTCCTACCGTGTCCTGAACGCTGGATACGCCGGTTGGTGGCTTGACTTCTACAGGGGCGGAGCTTCCGGGTCAGGGTGACCCCTCCGGGCGTCGCGACGCTCATCCACCGGCGTACGTCCCCTGCACACCCGAACGCTTCTAAGCTTCCACCGCCTAGGAGAGGATTCCGCTTACCGGTTTTGCGCTGCCGGGGATGTCTGAAATGCCATTTCGCGGCTAACGAGCCCCACGACTACGATCTCGGATGGGGACGAACCGTAGGGAAGGTTGCCAAAAAGAAATTCGACGATGGTAAACAGGGCGACTACGCCCGACGCAATTATGACTGTCGGCTGATAATTGCACCGACCTATTATTATGGAAGCGGTCTAAGTCGAGCATTTCCCGTTTGCAAATGTCAACGAAGGATTTACGGTGCGATAGAACCAGCCGTTTTATATATTGGTTTACGATTATTAGCCACGATAGGACATTTAGTCGGTTTTTGAACGAGCGTTATTGTAATATTTACCGCGAATATTGCATCCATCGAATGAATAACTTGTAAATCTGTTTTTGCAATCTGGGTGATCGTGAACTAAACGATTCGTTCCGTAAACGTAACGTTAAACTTTTCCATTTGGTCCTGTTGAGAAATAGTTTTTCGTGATTAAACAAGTTTGTTAAAGCTTATGTGTTCACCGTTGCGACGTGCGTTGCGAAAAATAACACGTTCCATTTTTCTTAGGAAGACTGATATGTTAGACCTTTTTTTACCACAAGCAATACGTTTCGATTTTCGACGAATATTTCGGTGTTAGGCGAATTATTATTATAATCATTATTATTAGCACGTGTAATTTCTAATCGAGGAAGATAACACGATAAATCGTTTTTGTTTTTTTTTAGTGGCGCTTGTTTTGATATAAATCAAAATTTTCACTAGAATGTAATTTCCCGTAAAACTATATTTAACTTTAGAACTATCGAATCCGAAACGTGACTAATGTATATTGTTTTATAACAATGACAAGATTGGATTTATTTCAATTTGCTTCGATTTTCATTGTAATGTGTGCTTGAATGAAGAGTTTCGTATAAAAATTTCTGATAAAATTATTGATACTATAATAATTTCTCATACTATAAAATTTCATTTTTATAGTATCAGGAAATGTAAATGAAAAAATGAGAAACCAGTCATTTCAACTGATTTGGTACTTCTAGTGTCAACGCTCATTGAATCTCTATCTGAAGGTGTGCTTATTTCTCGAATCGAAGCTATTTTCAGAAGAGATTTAATGAAATTTTGTGGATGATGCATGAAAGAAACCGAAAAACGTGCTGATCTTCGCAAAAAGAAATAGAACGTGTTATTAACATTTACTATGAACAATGAAACATGCTAGTTTTCGTAGTAAATATGAAATATAGTAATCTTAGGCAGAACAGATGAAATAGGCCTCTTTTCGTGACGAACTGAAACGTGTTAGTCATTGCCAGAAAAATGAAACGTGTCACTTTTCGTGACGCCCGCCGATTAAATTTGTGCGAATCTTTTATTGTTGGATATGTTATTCAGTTTATAATTGCAACTTTATATATTATAATAATTATTGAATTATTGGTAATAATTATTGAATTATTACAATATTTATAATTATTAGAAATTATTAAATCTTTATGTTTTTCCTTCGTCACTTGCCTTGCAGCCGTAAATAATGGCGACATTACGCACTACTTACATTACTGCATTGCCATATTTGTAAATAAATATGCAATATATTGTATAAAGTTTAATTTGCCTGAATCGCTGTTCGATGACATGATAGAAAAATGTGTTGAAAGTATTATAATTTTATTGTTTCTGTTACAATACATAGAAAAGAAATGATTTGTGCCACAAATCAAAGTGAGCATGAAATTGTAGCAGATAATAATAAAAATGACGATTTCATATTATTGCGACTTTTGATCATTTTTCTTACACGATACAATGCCCCATTTTAATTTTCAGCAGCAAGTTTGGTTTGAAGGGATTTAGATCATCATTAGTGACACAATAATTTCAAATGAAACGTTTGTATTCTTTTCAACATAGCTTTGAATACATTTTGTTTACGAAAATCTTGCGGGTGAAAATCACTATCGTAAAAACTCATTTGTAAATTGTGGATCTCCGTATATAAAATCCTGATTTTTTCACATTGAACATAAAACCTGCAATGAAGCGACATTTTACATCAAGCAGATGATTACTTCTTGCAGAAATGAGATAAAATTAATATACTTTTTCATAATATTTACAATTCCTTATGTTTGATAAGTTCATGTTTTAAATGCATAAAATATGCAGTCTATTCGTTCATTCATGCTCATCAGTAGACTGCGGATTTTATGCGCTTATGGCAAAAATAAGTGACTGAAATGTAAAATTCTGAAGACGTAAGAAGAATTTAATCATTTTATTACGCTACTTTCAACTTGTCAAAATTATTAAAAGAACCGATTTATTTTTATTTCTTACCACCGTCTTTAATTATTTATATCTTGCATAAAGATCCGCAGTCTATTCATCAGGTTATATTTTTAATCCTCATGCAACGTTCGAGTCATCACGGTGCGAATTTAAAGTTTAATTATCAATTATTCCTTTCCAAATAAAAAGTTTCAAGTTAAAGCATTTTTCTAATCGGAAAGTTGATTGTTTAGTAGCCTTTTTAATGCCAGATTTTATTGTTCACGTGCTTATTAATTTATATCTTTTTACAGCAAGACAAAATAGATCTGTTAAACTATTCGAAATGTAGTTTTCAATTGCAATTGCAAAATAATTAACGAATTCGGAGCTATCAATCATTAAATATGATCAATAATTACTGGTACATAAAATGTAACATTTAACAGTAAAAATACTGTACCTGGTTTGAGAACTTTCGCGATTAAATTCGGAATCAATTTCAATTCAATGTAATTCACAAAATATGTTAATTCATAGAATAGTTTTAACATGAGCATACATTTGCCGCATCTTTCGGTTAATAAGTAGTATAGGCTTTTTAACCCTTGGATGGCGACGCCGCCGGGTCCATTTGGACCCAGAGTTAGGAACATTTCTTCTAAATTCTAGTTTTATGGCAGTTATATTAATATTGAAACTAATAAAAGGATTAACTCTGATCTCTCAACGAAAAGGTTTTAATAATAATCATAAAGATTTTTTAATGGATCTAGCTGCGTTTGGCATAAACGCTCAAAAATGTCCGTCGTCCAAAAGTTAATGAATTCAATTGCAAGATGATGTGTTTCTCTTTGTAACTCAATACTTCAAACTGCAACATAAATTCTTCAAAGCTGTCAAACTATGATTGCTTAACTATATTACTTATACTAGTTGAACTCCGCTTTTCACAATTTTTACATGAAAAGTATAAATTATCTCGCAGTCGATTCTATGCATTTACAGTAATTTCTCCTTAATTCGCGTTCAGATTGCGCACAAAAAAGGTCGATTATTATTATTATTATTATTATTACAATTATTTGAGCATTACGGCTCGTTTTTATTGTAACCGATGTTAACAACTATAAAAACGAGACGCAAGCCTCGAATAATCGTATCACCTCTTCCCAAATTGTCCATTTTTTTTGCGCAACCTGAGCGCGAATTAGGGAGAAATTACTGTTTATCAGTTTATATCTTTTGAAAAACAATCGTGAATTCTAAAAAGTGACACAGAATCTTTCTTTCGAGCAGAATAGAACTATTAATAGAGATATATTATTCTTACACTTTCCGTCTCGCAATTTCGATAAATTAGTACATATAATTTACACAAATTTGTACAAACCAGCTTGAAAATGTATATTCACATAAAACTCCACAGTCGAATTTACACCATCAAAGAAGAATTCCTTCAAAGAACAAACGCAGAATAATGTTCCACTGTATTTTGAAGTCTTTAAAGCTCTCGTTGAAATAACAATAAAGCATTTCATTGAAAAACAATTAAAATTCGCGGCGCGTGGGATAATATTTTAGATTGAAAGCCCGCGTTGATGCTCGTTCGACAATATTGAACGTCAGCTAAAAATGGAAAATCCATTGACGAGCGTCGCATACAGGCATGGTACAATAACTTCTGTTCATAATATTACATATTGCTGGTTTATTATTTTATTATTAGAAAGCTGTGTAATCGTCGACAATGACACTTCCGCTTCGAAACAAGTTAATAATAATCAACACAATGTGTGTCCTCATGCAAATTCCTGCTTTTATACATTATTTTATGAAAACTACAAAATGTGGCACTTTTTTTTTGTTCGAAGAAATGTTTCTTGTAGCGATGATTGAAGAAAAATTAACATTTGTTAATGAACACATACTTTCGCAGTCCAATAATTAGCATCGTTTGAAATACCTGCACCTTAGCTCATTCTCATAGAAGCATTTGAGTGTTTGGAGAACCACAGTTCTGCTAACAATAGATAATGTTTCTACACTATGTAATGCTCTTGTTAAAAATCCAGAACCCAAGATATTAATTATCGTTTCTGAAAACGTGACTCATTTCCTTCTAGTAACCCTCATCAGTCGCATGTAGCTACAGTTATTACATTAATTTTTTAATAGACTCATGTATCGGTTAATTTTTTTCTATTTATTCTTGTTTTAAACCGATTGATTTATTCAGTTAATTATTTTTAAAATTCAGTATGTACCCTTTTTACATTCGCTATTCACATTTTTAAGGTAATAATTTACATTTACAGTATACAAATCATATTTTGCTAATTTTTACATTTTTCTCAATTTCTGTCCATTTTGAATCATCCAAATGCTCTTAAACATGATGTCGAAGACAGGATATTCATTAAAATATACATAATTTCTTCGACAAGTTAATTAAAAACTTTATAATTATTAAAATACAGATCTTGTG